TAACAATATAATTTGGACAGCAAAACCTGCGATCATTGTCACAATACAAGATGGAAACAGTTCCATGTTTAATTGTGCTCTCTCTTGAATTACACACCGTATACACGGTTTAAATTTATATTTTGTCGATTCGCTTGAAATGATTTTATGAATGAATTTAATTAAAATTCAAATGAACTATGAGGATTGGTTTGAATGTGATTCATTAAACGTTGAGAAAATACATAATGAAAATTTGATTTTATAAAAGCATCTGACGAATCACCATTTCCGGGTCAAACAATGGTTTGCTGGTTTTAGCATGCGTTTAGTTATGTGTTTAAAATCATTTATGAAATTGAAGTTGGAAAAATGTGTGCGATTGGTTCAACGCCAACCGAAAAATTGTAATGATGAGTTTGGATTTTTTTTTAGTTTAGAGCACAAATCGAAATTCAATGTTTACAATTACGACGGCCCACATTTGAGAAAAAATAAACTCGTAATGCCATCGAAGAAGAATAAATGTCTTAAAAAAAGAAAAAAATATCTTAAATAAGAAATTATTTTCGTCCGTTGCTTATTTTGTAAATCCTCAAAATAAACCGTCTCAATCTCGAGTAAACCGTCTCAATTATCTCTTTGCTTTATTGGATCAAAATCGTTCGAGCAAACAGAAAGTATATAATAGACATAGCTTACCAAAAAATATTGGGCAACTTCGATTCGAAAATAGCATTTTGTTTGATGCTAATTTTACATGACATTAATTCTCTATTGCCTCACTTGTTTTTCTCCTTCTGTCTTCAAAATACATGCATATCATCGTCGCTCATGCCATATTATCGCTCGGCAACCATATTTTAATGAATTTAGATGTTTGGGTTTGAAACTCGTTATCTAAAAATTTATTTCAAGCAAACGATTTCGATGAGAAAAAAAGAGTCACGAATGACAACAAGTTTAACTAGCATTTTCACCTGCTGCGTGCAAACAAAACACGAGAGAACTTTATTTAGATCAATCAACAGTGCGTTTTTATAGTCGCGTCTGCTTTCGATAAAATAAACTGACGAAATTAAGCATTTGAAATTCTTTTTTTATCATCGTTTGATGTAATAAGAATGTTTGATAGGAAGTAAAATGTCAGGAAAAAAATGTAACATTGGGCAAACATTTTATTTCAAATTGAATTGTGACAAATGTTCGACCGACTTATCGAATGGTGGTGTCAAAGATTTCAAGTAATTATTAATCGTGCACCGCATTTGGGCCACCGTCAAAATTGAACAAATTTGAAGCCAATAAAAAAGAAAATGAATGTTTGAAATTGATCACCGGCACGCGGTGTAGCACCGTAATACTGGTATTACGATTATTATTATTTGTACCTGCTTAAATTTATATCCCAATTTCAACATTTTATTGGCTTCGTGTAAAGTTTGTATAAATTTTATTTAAAAAAATAAACGACAAATGCTCGAAAATGACGAAAAGAAATGTGTGTGGTGCACATGTGAAAGGCTGTGGCTATGGCGGCGAGAGCAGCAGCAGCAGCAACAACAGAAAAAGCAGTTTGTTGTGCGTTGTTCGTTAGCAACAACAAACGTTCTTAACGTTTTTAACGAGCTGAAAAGGAACATTACAAACACATATTCGAAATAAAATAATGAAAGAGAGCACTCACGGTGTGTGTTGTCGTTGTACATCGGCCATCGTCACACACAGCCCGAACGTATAATAGAGGCAATAAGAAAAATAAGAATAAGAAGAAGAAGTCGACCCGATACATACGACAGCCAAGAGCAACAACGCATGGGGGAAACGAACGTGTGTGCACAACATACAGACGAAAAGAGGAAAAAAAAGACAACAACACAACACTGTGTGAATGTGAAAACCTAAGTAATAGGTAAGGTCAATAAAAGTATTTTAAACCCGACCCTCATTATCAATACCTTCAATCTCTCATATTCTTGCGATCGTAGGTTCGTTCGTTGGTGTGTGGTTTTTTTCTTCTTCCTTCTACTTATACTTCTTCTTCTTCTTCTTCTTCATGAATGTCTGTACTTGGACACTCTGAGTACGAGAACACAAATTCTATGAACAACACACAACATTGACTGACTGAGAGACAAAAAAAAGAATTGTACATTGGAATAAAAAAGAAGAAAAACATTGTTGTTAAACACGTTATTTATGGAAATACAGGCACTGGTTCGCCTCTATCGAAATACACTCACACATTCGGGACAGTGTAGACACAGAGGATAACATGATGAACCATAACAATAACAGTACGGCTAATAGCCCAATACATAAAAATGCCTTAATGATATAAAAAAAATACAACATAAGCTTCGTATTCTGATACAACTGAATGCATTTGGACATAGACACAGGCACAATTGCACACACTCACAGCAAAATACATGCAATGCAATCCACACAATTGGCACACACTTTACCAATTTCGAGCTCAGTAGCTCCCACAATATGTGTCTTTTCTCATTCGCTGTCTCTCTCTCTCTATCCCAATGCATATATTTCTCTCTTTACTCAACAAAACATTTTGTATTTCCACTCTATTACCGTAGAATTACTCCTCATTGTTCCGCCGAGTAAATTCCGAATTGTGTGCATTCATTTATTATTTAATCAAATTAAAATGATTCGCATAAAAATGCCAAACAAAAGTCATTGTGTAAAATAAATGTTCAAATGTAATATGCGCGCGCGGCCAATGGCATACATACAAATATAGTTCAGTTTCCCGCACAAACAAAAAAAACACACATTCTTCGTAGGAAGATCAGAAAGGAGAAGAAAAAATGGATAGGATATCGAGGCAAAGTAACGAAGGAACGACCAAAATTCTCATATCATCTGTTTTGTACGTTGTCTTGCATTTGTGTTTTTCCCTTTCGTTGTTATTTGTTTGTTTTCTCGGCGAATAGGTTCATAAATTGCTGTCTACTTTGAGAGATGTTCAATAGCGCACAGACAAATCCCAAATTAAATGAATGTAATTCGGATGATGCGCTGGATTTCATGCCAAGTTTTTCATCTCCGTCATCATCCATGATATAGAAATATACATAAATATATTTCTTAGTTACTATGTGCACAGAAAGAGAGAGAGAGAGAGAGAGAGAAAGAGATCAACTGTCTGCCAAGATGCACAGCACGAGTGTGCTGAATTATGCCAGCTATTTGATTTTGAAAATTAAGACAACAGGACAACAAGATTGGACATTAGTAGAAAAATGAGTTGCATATTTTTGTGTTTGAGTTATGTTATGCAGTCCGTCGTGTTTGCTGTTCATTTTTTTTCATCATTGAAGTTTATATCGGTGGCTCCGGTCGAGATAAGGGACGACAGTGTCTCATAGCGCAAATAAATGAAAATAAAAACAAAAAAAATTGAACGCAAAACATTCAAAGTTTGTAATAAACATTCCCTTTTTTACATGCAATTTGAAAATTGTTGTCAGTAAACTTTAGAAATTAATAGCAATTTGTAATGAGGTAAGTTGAATTTGGAGCATTTGATGGAGATGCAGCAGCCACCACCCATGTACTATACCTGTGTAGTGTGTACATTTACTTCTACCAATTATTTTGTACAATATTGTGATTACCATTGTATAATTGCATTCCAAGCAATTTGATAGGAAAGTTCAGCATCATTTAAATTGAACATAATCATGTTCATCATCATCGACCGTTGTCATTGCCGTCGCTATACAGCTTCCATTGTTTGACAATGAATAAAACAAAAAAAAAACCATCAAGGATCAAGAGAATTGCTCAATTTCAATCGGCTGCTTATAATTAATTAGAATAATTCATGTGAAAATATTTTGGCTCATTCTCATCTCATTATTATCGGTAATGGTAGTAATAAAATGGTTCACATCATTGGAATAAAAACAGCAATGGGAAAGACAGATAAAAAAGTTATTGCAATTGGTCTGAATTGAAGAGGTAAATATGAGGCAAAAATGCGATTGAGAAATATAAGATTGAATTGCTTCGATAACGGAAAAAATTGAGCGTACAATTGAACACTGAATAATGGGACGATATACCACAGTGGTGAGGTAGCGGCAACAACAAAATAACACCGAACCAAGTACAACGAAGAAGGAATAAGCGAGGCTCACAACAGCTGCGACGGCCATTTTCGCTGTTTATTCTTTACGCTTCAATCTCTCTCTCTCTCTCTTACACTCTCTGGCATTGGCATTGTGTGTATTTGGCATATGATGACGGGACCGAATTTAATTCTCGCAGTCTGTATGGGAAGGTAGTACACATCGAACAGAACCGTGTATTGCTATTGCCATTTGCCACCTTTGCACTTAGTTAACAGTTTACAAACAACGTATAAATGGATTAAGGAAATATATTTTCATATTTGCGTATAGGCAACGAATGAATATGTGAAAACGACACGAAGGAAATCTCCTTCACTTTCTTCTACTCTTTCTCATCCTCTCTCATTGTGTGTTTTCTCTCGTTTTCTCGTGGATTCTTCAAATACACACAAATACCCGGCGAACCTCGTAATAACAAAAGCAACAGTGTGCCATGCGGATGCTATTACAAAGGTATTTACAGCGATTTGTTTTGTTTGCCAACATGTGTATATATTGTGCGTCATTCATGCAAGAAGCTTTTCCAATTTTATGCAGAAAACAAATTTGAATTTGATATTTTTTTTCTCTTATTTCGCAAAGAGATTTTCTAGGCCAAAAATCATTAAATATTTTGATTTATTTTGCCCTCAATTTCCGTTACCTTCGAATTCGTTTCCACATTACCATTCGACGGCTTTGCAGTATTCGCGCAATGTTATTTACACATTATAAAAAAAAATCAATCACAACAAAGTTGAATTAACAAAATTACCGATTACATTAAAATTTTCAGCACAATTTTTATGTGAAAATCACGGCCAAACAACAAACACAAAGTAAAAAAAATAATTGAAAATAACAAATAGAAGTTTAATTTACCTTTTGTTCATGTGTTGTTGTTCTAACGATGATACGACAAACGGTTGCGCTGTTTATATTCTATTTATTATCAGTTTATTCTTTGGAGCGATATTTAAATGTTCGATTTAAGTAAAAGTATGCGAATGGAACGCGTATTTACTCTCTTTTATTCAGTGCGATAAAAGTTGATGCGAAAATAGAGAAAAACACGGTGTCTCGGGAGAATCGTACACTGTGTTACACTGAATTTGGAAACAAAATTCTTTTTTTTTCTTTCTTCTGTCAGCTCAAAGATATTCACAAATTTACTATCGAATAAAAGCAAAAAGAAAATAGTAAATAAATTGACGTGAACGAAATCAGGCGATTGAGGTGGGAAATGCTTTTTCCATTTCTCTTCGTCTCGAGCCTCTTTCACTCGTTCATTCATTCACATTCGTGACCAACACAATAGACAAGCACTCGGCCAAATAGCAACAGACAGCAATAATAATAAATACACCGGTATATATATCGGGCGGTCGCGCTCTATCCACGAATTCTATATGCGATTTTTTCGTCAGTAACGGAAATATACAGGCGAAAATCAACAAAAACAACAAACAGAAAACAACAACGAAATCAAATAGAGACGAAAGAAGTGAAAATGCTGCTTTTGCTTGAACTGTCGAAAGAACGCGCGCGATACGGTTTTATCGATTTTAATTTCTTTATACAGGCGTCATAAAATGTGCAATTTTACATTTGGCGAAAGGAATTATTCTCGCTGTCTTTCAATCTGTAATAGATCTCTCTATTCGGATACATTAATTAATTATTATGAAATTTGCACTGAATTTGTTTGATTCAATGTTTTATGCAACGAATTTAACGAAGATTTCCGGTATAAGCAAATTGTGAACCGATTTCAAGAATTTTTCATTTTATCATTTTTGCTTTTCTCAAATGCTGTTTTGCTATTTTATTGAACGCGAGAAACAGAGCCAATTTGTGTTAGTTGCGAATGCTGATGATGTTCGATGAAGTCGATGATAAAGTTGTTTGCCAACCAAAAACGTCTACTAATTGGACGAATAATTTTCTAAGCAGAAAATGTCGATTTATCGCCAATTTATTTCGTGGAATCACTGCAATTTTCAACCGTTTTAATTATTAAAAAAAGAACATATCATCGGTAACTGAACGGCAATTTAATTAATTTAAACAAAACATAACAAAAAAAAACTTGAAATGAACACGATCTTGTGAGATTGATAAAAATAAACGAAATGAAACGAAAAACCGTTCTCAATCGAACTCGTTATTTCGGGTCAATTTTGTTTTGCATATCAAAATTAAAATTAATATAAAGAACTTTCACTTTCGAAAACTATTAAAACAAAAATGCAACTCGTTTTTATAAACGCCAATTTATTCAAGTTTTCACGACCAATTGCAATAATTCGCCACGAAATGAATGAGTTTCCAGTTTTTTGTTTTCTTCTTTTTCGTTTTGGCCATAAAAAAAACCCGACAAGGAATAATTTCGTTTAATGGTGCTTTGCTCAATAAAAATGAAAATGAACTTTTTTGTTATTCATGAAGTTGCTGTTTTTGTAATTAATTACCCGACGACGTTCACGTTAAATCGAATCGAAAAATTCAATTAGATGAAGAAAAAAAAATAAAATTGTTTTTAAAGGAAAACTCACACTTTGAATTTTTTATCTTTATTATTATTATATTATTGACTGAATCGCAGTCAAATACACTTTATTAAAAAAATTGTAGAGTTCTTGGTTTTATTCCTTTTTATGATTTTTTTCTATCTCTTTCTCTATGTGTATATATCGTATGTGTACGACGCTGAAATGGCGGTGCATGCACTAGGACCATGTACCACACTGAATGACTCATGAAACGATACTAACCATGCCGCTTCCACATTTGTGAACACAAACATCGCATTTCCATTGTAGTAACGTCACAGAATCGGAACTGAATCGTATATGGATGGATAGAATGGCTGTGTATTGGTATGTCTCGTTCCGTATTCGGTGGTCATTCGGCTCGGCAAATGCGCGTGTATGTATTCAATGTATTTGTATATGACAGGCAACGCGCTTCGTATGTGAAAACCCAAACAACAAACATTTTATGTATTCGGTCGCTGTGCCATGTCGTGGATATACATGCTCTCATAGTATCGAAGCGAGCGTATATGGACATATGTATGTGTATATGGATGTGCGCGAGTATGAGTTTATGTGTATGTATATTCGTTGTATCGAGAGTATTTGTCTGTGAATTGAAATTTACGAAGAACAAAATGAATTTAATGAGCATGAATATATATATGAGAAACACATATAACCAAAAAAGCAAGAAAACATTCAGTTGAATTGAAAAACCATCACACACATTTCATTGAAATGGTGCTGCTGCTGTTGTTGTTGTTAAAGTTGTATGGGTGAGAGTTGTGATTGAGTGAGCGCCGGGCGAAACGAAGAAAACGACGTTGTGTGTAGCAGCTGAAAGAATTTATAGAATATAAAATATCAACAAAACGAGAGATGGAATTACGCGAGGCCCCATACGCCATGCATTAGAAGGGTATATGCGAAAACCAATTCATTTAATTTGAGTTTTTGGTTCTCCCTCTCTCGCTCTCTCCTTCATTCCTCTCTCTCTTCTTCTCTGTGTACATTATGCATATATATATATATGGACGTATGCATGTATATGTGTATGTGTGTGCCAAGAATCGCAACATATATGTCGAATTTATAGCCACGCTGTCGTTGTTGTTGTTTCTCTGATGAGAAACATAAGCACGCAACTATATAAATATGAGCCAAATATTGGATGCAGAAACAGTGTAAAATTGCATCGAACGAAATGTATATACAAAACGATCGCGAAACTCAGTACGCTGCACATTGAGCACTGCAGACGAACGACAACGGACTTGTGCAGCGATGTTAAAAGAATATTGTCGAAAAAATTTACGCGCGCTATTCATTCGATGACAATACACACAATCAATCGATTGGGAACGACGGGCAAGAGGTGGGCAACGAATTGACGACGACGAAGACTCGGTCCGTTTGAATAAAACGTTTATTCTCTGTATCTATCTATCACTGCATTTATCTATATCGTAATATGCAAACTCTCTGTCTCTCTCTCTCCATTTCTCTAATAAGGAAGATTACATTTCGTGCCTCGCTTCATTCACAAATGATTGCATCGACGGAAAACTTATCGACATTAAATGTGTGAATAAACACAGACATACGTACCAAAATGCTTACGGTTTTATTAAATTGTACAATAACATTATTCATATATACGTATTTTTGTTGAAATGTGAAATATGCGTTTATGTCCTAATGTGCACAACTTTTCCAATCGACTAAGCCCCATCAGCACGTAGACATCGTTGTATCCATTCGGTTTCCCATCAAAATCGTTGTCGTCGTCATCATCATAGGTGAATGGATACACACCAAACACACATGGATAATGAACGTTTAGGAATAGTAAATAGAATAAACTCGAACAAATACGCACAAGCACATGCACGGACACCGTAAAGTACTTTCAACTACTGCCATATTTCAAAGTTAAAATAATAACAAGATAATAACCAAACAATGGAATTGCTGTAAACATTCATAATTTTATTTACATTGAGTACTTTGAATGAAGCGCACGGCCAAAGCAAAGTAAATGATGAACAAACAAATAAAATAGAAAATAGGAGGAGAAGGAAGAAAATGAAGAAGTACTAGTTGGACGCTCGCATTCATTTGTTGTTGTGTTTTTTTTTTCATCTTAATGTTTGCACGCGCGTTTTTGTGTTCGATTCCCACTTTTAATTTCATTAAAGCAATTGAATGCAATATTCATCTTTTGAACGAGTAATGAGAAACATTTCATTTTTCTTTCTTCTCCATAAATGCTTTTTGTGGGGACCATCAACTGTCATTCATTGAAAGAAGACTGCGTAATTACGCTAGTCATCGTAATGAACGACGGCAAACGGGCTGCAAATAAAATGAACGACAGAGATATCATCTATTATATATGTATACATAAATGATGGGTAGAAAGGTGTAGCAGAGATAGTGTTCAATAAGAACAATTGAAATTAAAAAAAAAACAATCCATTGGACATAAATAAAAAATAACGTAAAGTCCAAATTCATATTTTTTGCATAAAAACAATAAAGAGTAAAGTAAAGTCCAAATTCGTATTGTTAGCATAAAAACAAGTAAAGTCCAAATTCACATTTTTAGCATAAAAAAGACAAGAGTAAAATAAAGTCCAAATTCACAGTGTATATTGCTTATCAAGCATTCTACATTACAATCCATACACATGCCCATAAATGGCAAGCCTTTTGGCATAATCAAATGTACTAAATTTTAAGAAACAGAATTAATAAAGAAAGAGTTTTTAGTTAATGTTGAACAGCTGAACACTACACTTGTCTTCATTTACTCTGTATTAATGTCCCCTGACAGATAGATACAACGAACGCACCGCGGTATACTTACTGTTCACCTTTTATTAAATTAAATTCAATTAACAGTGACGACGACAAAACATGTTCTTTTTGCTATCAATTTTGTTCTATTCTCTCTCTCTTTCGTTCCCTATATCTCGTTTTGCGCACATCATCGTTTTCGGGTTCTAGTTTATTTAGCGAAGAGAATACGAGAGATTCTCTAGCTATTTGCATATGGTTTTATATGAAGGTTGATTGTTAGGTTGGTTCGTTGGTTGTGTTTTCACCATTCCACTCCTTCTATGCATGTTTCTACTGCCACTGCTGACTGTTTTCCTTTCTCTCTTCATCTCTAACATGTCGTTGTTATCTCTGTATTTCTCATTCTATTGCGTTCAGTATCGCGCGCGCGATAGAGAAACTCTGGCTCCGGCTGAAACAAAGCACATTTAAGTTCATTAAAATTGTATAAAATCATTTTTCGTTGTCGTGTTCCTGTTTCGGTTCTGGTGGCATCGTTGTGCGTTTCTCGTTGTCTTTGTCATTTTGCTCTTTTCATATAATTGCTTTACCGCTTATGTACACCCGTACACCCGTCGTGCATCATCATCATACCATGCATCCATGCTCCAAACCTCGTACACACCAATCTCTTTTACTCTGTTGAATTGTCGTTCATTCATCGTCATCGTCATCGTCGGTTGGGATACGAGATGGCATCATGGCAATGGCAATTGCAAACAGGCAGAAGCATTTATGTACGACTATTCGCATATTATTATTGAAATACTCATGAGATTACAAGAATGTATTTCAATTCACAATACTGCGTGAATTATCGTTTGATTCAGAAATGTTGGCGTGTGTCGTGTGTGAGTGTGTTTGCATGTTAGAGCACATTGAACAATTTTCGTCGAAAATCGTTGGATTCATTAGTTGATTTCGAGTAAGTGTGTATATTTGTTTATTTCGTCGTATGTGCACCAGCAGCAATATGCACTCATTCTAACTGACTGTACGGTGTACTCCCAGGATCTATTCATGATCGTAACATTGCTGCTGCTACTACTACTGCTGCTGTTGTTGTTATTATATTTTTTTTCTGTCATTCGAACAGTTTGCTCTCCGCTCAATCTATGGATAAATGTTTAAACATGACGGACTAATTCAGCACATATTCCGGTGCAATTGTTAATTTCAACATTTCGCGTAAATGGATAAGCGATTCATTCCGACCAAATTGAATGTGAAATTGCATAATATTGTATGTAATTTGTTAGCCATGGCGCTTCTTTTTGTCCGGGCCATAATGTACGCGTACATATATGCGATACAGAGAATAACCATTGATTCAAATCGAAATTCCGAGAGAATAAATTTTATGTTAAGCAGGTGCACCGTACACTTTGATATGATGTGATTTTCATTGCATTTGATCATCCAATGTTTTGTGTGTACGTACGCGTACATGCTTAAATAGACTCGAATCAGCACTTTTGTTAAGGAAGGAACGCTTCCATGTTCAATCGAATGTTATACAAGCACGTCCAATAATTTTAAAGCATTTTGCCAAAGCAGCAAAATACTGCATTTAACCAAAATGACACAACCAAATTTATTTCACTGAACATGAAAAATTAAAGGTTAGTATTTTCAAGTTGAGTGAAATTTTACTGGTGCAATGTTTTTTTTTTGTCAACGATTACAATAGCGTAAATGAAAAAAGAAACGATAATGAAGATGCCGATCATCGTTCTTTTCAAGCACAGATGAATGAGGACATTAAAACCAACTTAATGTAAATGAAATTAAATTAGTACAATCAAAGGCCTATTCATTGAGTTTGTTTGTGAAATTTGTAAAACACTGCATGACATTTTTTTTCATTTTGGTTCAGCCCGCGTTTTGCTCTATGGAAGAAATGTTTTCATTCCTTCTCTTACACTCCTTCTCGTATTCTCTCTTGCGTTGATTTTGGTAATTGTGTGCGTTTATTATAGTTGGTGGTGTTGCTTTTTCTTAAGCTTCTGATGGTGGAAAAAATCAAACCGAACAACCCGATACTTTATGTGTAGCAATCGCACAAGCTTTTGACGTACGTGAAATGAGCAAGTACATCATGGAGTCTGTTGATTACATTCATTCCTGTTATAGATCTAGATCTATATGCAGTGCAAGAAAATAATATAGAATGTACCAAGAGTGAGTAAATAACGAGTATGAATTAAAGAAAAAATAAATTAAAATGTTGATTCCTCTTTTTCTCGCTGTGTGTATTTTCGAGGCGCTAGTACCATGAATGAAAGCGCATGCTATCCATTCATTTGCTTTTCTCTTTTTTCTATTGAATGTAGTAGTGTTCAAAATTTTACACAAAACGATGTTCTTTGTGTGT